GCCCTCACCAGCACCCACATCTGGCTTCATTTTCTAGGTGTTTAGAGAGTATTTAGAGGCTCCCAATGCCCATGCACAAGAAGTCCTTGGAACGCCTCCACGTCCGCGGCGACCAACTTTGTTTCTTTAAGGGCGATCTCTGCCTCCGCCGCGTCGGCCGTCTGCATCATCAGACAGAAGCGGAGGGCACCTGTGGGAGACCGGAGCTGAAGCCACTTGGGGTCTCTGTCTGCGTGGGTGTGTCTTCGGTCACTGTGACCACGCAGATCTTGCAAAAATGCGACTGTGGATGCGCAGGCCTCGCAGCATCGGCTGCTCCTGCGCTTCGGCGAAGCCTTCTCTCCAGGCCCACGCCTGGGCACCCGCCAACCGGGCCTGTCAGCCGCGGTTCAATCTATGTATACAATCACTCGCACAATCACAAGGTCTACCGAGAATAGCAATGGCAATGGCGCTCACGCGCACGATCTCCGTGCGGCGCCTCTGCGGCCAGGAACTCCTGCATTCGCAGGTGGTATAGCTGCACCTGGCAAAGGGTGTGAACCATTTCGAACTTCTGACCGGATGAATAATCTCCAAGCGCGGTTTGCGCCACCGCTTGGCCAGCCGGCTCGAAGAATCTCAAGTGCCCGAGCTGCGCTTCCTGGAAGACCACCTGGATGCAAAAACAGAGCGTCAGCGAAACAGCACATAAACCGTGTCAGCTGTGCATGCCTGACGGGTTCCAGTTGCGACCGCGGCACATCGCAGATGGCCAAAGGAACGGCGAGTCACATACAATTTTGTGCTGGTGTTTTAAGTACTGTATCACGTGTTGCGGCCACATGACAAGACAGTGTGTGAACAAGCATGGGCATCATTCTATCTATTTACGTGGGGCTCATGCAGGCCCCGCAACACCTGAGACGCAGTCACCCGTGGGCGCTCGTGCAGCTCCGGCCTGGTTGGTGAAGTCCGACTCCAACAGCAGCCGCTGGCCCGCCTGCAGCGAGAGCAGAAGCGGATTCCTGAAAAGTTCTTCGCGGGTGCCCGGGCGAGTTGCCTGGAGCTTGGCCAAGCACAGCGGGCCCAGCTCTGCTCGCAGCTCCTTGCAGCCGGTCCGCTCCTCTGCCTGGCTCTGCCGAAACACTGGCAGACTTATCAGACTTGCACCAATCCAGAAATAGCGTCTGGTTGCGACGGATTCGCACGAGTCTGTATTAGTTACATGGACTCGCCTGCTTCAGCAGCGTTTCCACCGCGTGCTCCATCAGCATCAGCTCTGCCGTGGCGCCGTCGAGCTCTTCCTCCTGCAGTCAGCATCGTGATGTGCATACTGATTCTGCTCTCTGCCTACAACCTCGAGAGAGGGCGGGAAAGGAAGAGGCAGGGAATCGGAAGCCAGAGAGCCACAGAGCAGATGCATTTGATGCTTCGGTCCTTCTGGCCCCGAGGATATGTGCCTCTGCCGGGCTTGCGCCAGTCTTATAGCATGGACCAGCATGGATGTTACATGTAAAATTCAAGGTGTAGAAACCTCCGCCCCCCCCGCCGCCCTGCCCCCTGGTCCAGACTCTGCGCAGCTGAATGGGGGCTAGGCCCAGAATGCTGGCCATCAGGGGCGTCTGCCAAACCTGCACTGGGAAAATCTGGGAAATTTTCTGGTGGCACGCAAGAAATGAGACGGCGATACTGCGGTGCCCAGCGGCCCCGCTAAGTACATGTGACATCGCATTCCTGACGATCTGCTGAGTCGAGGGGCCGCTTCGGGGAGCGCTCGCAGCTCCTCCTCGCCGAACTTCGAGATCCTGCAAAGCTGCAAAACGAGGGCCACGTGCTTCGAAGATTTCCTGCCACTTCGCCGAGTTGGGGGGCCTCGAGGCCACGGGAGGACTGAGCGGCAGGATCTCCAGCGGGGCGAAGCTGAGCCTTGTGCACGAAGCTCTCCGAAGCTCGCGCTCCACGAAAAGCCAAGGCCAGGGCTGCAGGGACAGCTCATCCTGCACTGTCATCTCCGCCAGACTCGCCGGGCAGAGTGGGACCTCCGCATCCAGGACCACCTGGAAGCAACCTGAGCAGCTGCACATCTCAGCACAGATGCATGCGACGGCAGCGCGGTCCAAGTTTTCGCCGAGAGGTGGTCGAGAGGCAGGAGTTCTCTGTGTGTCCCGTCGCTCCTGAGCCCGACCCGATCGCCTCAGCAAGCAGGGAAACAGGCAGCAAGAGAGCCGCGCTTAGGAGAGAGGGAGAGCGAGAGAGAGAGAGAGAGAGAGAGAGAGAGAGAGAGAGAGAGCAAGCGGCCTGGCCTGGCTTCAAGTCTCCCGCCAGGAAGATCCCGGCCGACGTCTCACGGAAGCTCCTAGACTTTGTCGCTGATCTACTTTGTGCGAGAAAAAAAGGCGACGCGGCTGCTGGCTGAGCGCACTCGATCTGAGGCCGGCACACTTCCACGTCTTCGACTTTGTGGTCGTCGGCCGCGGCTCTCTTCAGGAAGGCTCGGCAGGGAAAGGCGCCTTTGGGCCACTCCAGCATCCTGCTGTAGTTGATGGACTTGTAGTCCTGGCAAAAGTCGCACGACGACGCCCCGACGGCTCCCAGTGCAGGGAGTGGCCCGCCCTCTCTCGGTCCTCCCAGACCTCGCCGTCGGCCCGGCGCGCCACCACGCGATGAAACTCCTCCGGATCACCACCGGCCGTTCGGAAGGCCCGCTCCAGCATCATCTGGGCAGCGAGGCGGGCGTCGTCCAGGGACACCGCGGCGGAGAAGACAGTCTCCGGACCCTGTCGGGCAGAGCCACCACTCTCAAGTGACGGTATTTCTCAAGCTATACAGCTCATTATGCAAAGTGGGCACGTGGGCCTTGCGCCTCACCTTCAGGGAGTGCACCCCGGGCTCCAGGCCGTTCACCTCCTTCTTCAGAAGCAGAAAGCCCTGGCCAGTGCCAAAGAGCTCTCTGCCGACGGGCTTTCTCCGCTGCGCCAGCTGCGCCTTGTCGCAGGAGAGGACGGTGCCAGCTCCCAGGCTCTGCCCAGTGCCGTCGTGCAGCCGAACGTGGGAGGAGACCGGCAGCGGCTCCTGCGACGGTTCGGCTCAAGGCGCGAAAGCGCTGGGGCGTGCCCGTGCAGAGACGCATTGAGCGGCAAGTGTGGAGACGACAGCGGAAGTGATCCAAAGATGCCCACTTCGGCAGCTGACGCGGCAAATGGATGTGATGCCGCTTGAAACGCGCAAGCCGCAGTCAGTCGCAGCTTGCCGGCCTGCCTGGGTCAGCAGCGACGTCTCGGAGAACTGGCCGAGGACCACGGATGCCGCCGGCTCGCGAGCGCTGCCATCGCTGGCCAGCACCCTCAGCCCAGAATCGAGAGCAGCTTTGATGAAAGTTCCGAATCCTTATAGGCCTTCCCAAGGCTCGCTGGGATCCGGGCTGGTTGGTGCCGGACGGCCGAGAGGCGATGATCGTGCAGACGCATCGGTGGCCGTTTGCCCTGGGCCGGAGCGTTGACGACAAGCAGCGTGCGTGCTCTAACAATTCAATGCAAAATTGCTGGCCGAAGAGCTGCAGCCATTTCTGTAGCCAATCGAGTATCCGCCGGCGGGCGATGGCGGCTTCGTCCAGGCCGTCCAGGACCAGGACGAGCCGCCGATCGCCTGACACAACAGCTTCTGGGGCCACGTCAAGTCAGCGGACACGGAGCCTGGCGCTGCGCCTCTCAACTCGCCGCTGTCGCTGCCGAAAGCTCGCTCTGCCCAGGCCTGAAGCCTCAGCGTCTGCACAGGAATATCTCCGTGTGCTCGTTTTGGGGGCTGGA